AAGCACCAGATCAGTTAAACTAGGCATAAAGAACATGGGACAAGTTCTACGTAGTGGCAATCACACAAGAGACGACACTAAAATCTACTAGTAGCATAAACCGTATGATTACTCACCGAATACTTGTTGGAACCTATCTGCCTCTCAAACACCATGAAGTAGTATAACAAATAAAGTCCAAACATCAGTTCTGGCGTGGATGAAAAAGCAAAAACTGACATAACTAACTTCCAAAGCCGAAGCTTCCCAAAAATATCCTGCAAAAGAGATGCAAAACGATTGATAAAGATGGATCATGACTTCATCTTAAAGGAGCATGTCACATCTCTCAACAGAATTTTGGAGACACACATCACGAAATGATAAGGGTAATCAATTCATTTCTATAAGGAAAAACAATTGACTCAACTTTATGAAAAAATTATTACACGAATCAAAAATAAGTAGAAAAAAATTATACCTTCATTCCACAATGGGAGCTCTGCACATACCCTCAAATAATATAAAAATAGGAAATGTGGTATTTAAAATTAGACCAACAAAATGAGAAAGGGAAGAGGAGTGAAAATGGCATCTGAACTTATCTTATGTCAAATATCACAACGGGCCAATAAAAATCAAATTTAAGATACAGAAAAAAAGAGTAATGAAACCAAAAAAGGAGTAATGAAACTAAACTATCTACCTAATAGATAATAACGATTATTAGGAACCAATCATGAAGAACATGGCCAAAGGCCGTGCTAATAAGAAAAATGAAGGAATCCAGCATACTTCTAAAATAATTTGGAAGACTGATCCCCAACCTATCATTAAAAGAGCGAAAACCAGTAAATACACATGAGCCACTAATCAAGGAGGCTTTTTAAATTGCATAACTATTAGAAGAAAAGCATCACAAAAGATAAAGCTGACAACTCCACATCTTCATTTCTTTTTATATTAAATAATTTGTCATATCATGCAGCTCATTTACAAGTGGCTTCCAATATTTCAGTCATAACAATATGGTGTTCATTTCTTAGAAATCCAGCCAGTAAGAGTCAAACCTCAGGCTCACCTACAGGGATGCAAGGAGGCAAGCAATTGCCAATATTGCCCTCAGTTACAGAACTCAGTTTAGTTGCAGAAAACTATATTGTGATTTGCGTCATCATCTGCCTATTTTTTTATCCTTTAGATTTTCCCTTTTTGGTAAAGTTACTTGTATCTGTTGCTCTCCATCAATTATTTAACCAAAAAAGAGATGGGAATCTGAAACTTTTCTGCTGTTTTTGCTAGAACTTATAATTTTTTTTTAAATAAAAGAGAAGAGTATTATTATGAACATAGATACCAAGAGAGTATCATCCGTCTACAAAATGATTACATATCAAACAAGTAATCAATGACTATTCCAATACATTCCTAATCTAAAATGTTATGACCCAACAAAATAAAGCCAAAAGTGCGAATCCATCTTATCCCTATTGTTTACAAAGTCAGCTTCTATTCTCTCAAAAACTCTAGCATTTCTTTACTTTCACACAACCCAAAAAATGGTAAATGGAAATAAAAATAAATGTTTTTTTCTTTTTACATATGTCTGCTCACGCCCACAACTCTTTACTTACATTACCCACCATGACCCAATTCATCCCCATAATCCCAAAAACAATGGTCCAAATGCTGTACACAGCTGGGCAACAAAGTAAAATATGATCGCAAGATTTCTCATCAGCTTTGCACATGTAGCATCTATTAACTAAAATGTTGCCTCTTCTCCTCAGCATATCTATGGTCAATATACTTTATCTTGAAGGTTCCCAAGCAAATAAAGTCATTCTAGGAGGGAACTTTGACCCTCCAAATCTGCTTAAAAGATGCTGCCATACCAGCGTCTCCATCTCTCTTGGATAAGTAGTTGTAGTAAGATATCACAGAAAAACCCCTTTTCTTATCCAGCTTCCAAATCCTCCTATCCCTATGGTCCCCTAACTTAATATCAGCCAAACAAAGGAGCAAATTGCAATATTCATCCACTTCCCAATCCCTCAAATTTCTTTTAACCTGTACACTTCACCCACTGCCTCCTCCACCATTCCCATATACCTTCTCCACCAAGATATCCCTCTCACATGCAATAGCAAAATTCGTTGGAACCTATCTTCAGCTTGAAGTCCCCTAACCACTCATCCTGCCAGAACCTTATCCCTCACCATACCCAGCTGCCACCCAATACACTCCTTAAATCTGCTGCTGCCCCCACTAATTTCTTCCACAAACTCACCCCATACGGTTTATACTTCCCTCTTTTCCCCCCCATCCCGCTCCCAGTCACCCTATCTAGCCTCCGACACCTTCCTCCATAATATCCCTTCCTCGCTAATAAACCTCCATAGCCATTTACCATGCAGCGCAATGTTCAACTCCGAATAGATCTTAACCCGAGCCATCCCCCATATACTGGTTTCTTCATATCCTCCCACTTCACTAATATATTCCCCTCTTCATCACCCGGAATCTACATTAAATCATTTCAAGTTTTGAAGCAATGCTAATCAGAATTGTTAAGATAGAAATGTAGTATATTGGTAAATTAACTAAGGTGCTCTTGATCAAGGTAAGCCTACCTCCTTTTGATAGAAAATTTCTCTTCCACACTGCGAGCCCCTTCTCAAACATCTCCACTATTGGGTCTCAAGTGTTAGTATCTTTGAATCTCGCTCCAATAGGAAGTCCAAGGTATTTGATTGGCAAGGTAGTAACTTTACACCCCAACACCCCAGCCAAAACTATCTCATCCCTCCTATAACCAATTCTAACCATTTCCGTCTTTCTCATATTGGTTCCCAAGGTTTTTGCTGGAACTTATAATGAGCTGCCAGAAATCAATAATTGCCTATTTTATACACTCCAGGGATAATTCATGCTTTTGTTACCGGAAGAACTCCAACAAAACTGCCACCTATTTTGTACGCTCTTAAGGGTTCAGAACAGAGGAACTATTTTTTAAGAATTCACTTGGTGATATATGCTTGGTTCAACTGCAAGAGGAGGAAATTCAATTTCAAATGACTTCCAAGATTTTGTTAGAATTTGAAGTGTATTATTTAATTTCTCTGATAATTCATTTGGAGTTGAATATTTTTCCTTCTGGAATTAAATTTTCACTCTCATGCCTGAACTAATGATATATTTCCAAATGAATTCAGTAAAAAAAAAGTGCACTTTGCTCCAATCGTATCTTGAAAGGATTTGTGATCACTTCACCAAAATGGCAAGGGCAACCTAGAAACACCTATGAAAATGTTGATTGCCAATAAAATCATAACTCCAAGTTTCCAATCAGAAGTAAGAAGGAAACACTACCAAGTCAATCTCATTATCATTAGTCATGGAGTAACGCCCCCCTTGATGGTCACAGCAAGTGAAAAATGATCTTCAGAAAATAGTAGCTCACTCTTGCCATAAGAATGGGAAGGAGGATGAGATCACAAGGCCCATCCTTTGTAGTTTGTTTGTAAATTTGCTAAGTAATAAAAACGAGTAGGGGAAACACAACACAACTATCATTTTTTCTTTAATTTCAGAATAAGTGAATTATGCAGAAGTATTAAACGCGAAAAATAATTCCAACTATAAACCCTGTTAACCCCTATTTCAAGAATATGGAGAATAAACCATGGCGCAGATGAAAAACAATAAAATCACTTCCATTTCTATGAATTGCCAAAAATAGTCCCTCCGAGATCGAAGCTACAATTAGCAACTAAAACAAATTATTGATTCCGATTCAAGCGACTACAAACAGAATATCACCAAAACTAACTCGAAACTACACGAAACAAGTAATCACGCATCAAAATTCTACCAGAATAAACCCACCACAAGAGTGAATATATATATACGCCAGGAAGCAAGAGGAAGATTGAATAAATTACCTGATACGACAAGGCAACCTTGGCAGACCGACCTTGGATCCCAGCAAGGATGGTCAATAGAACACACACGACGACAAATATTTTCGTAACTGGGGCATTGTCTGCGAAATCGTAGAAATGTCCATCAAAAACACAGAGATAAACAAATCAAAGCAAGCACAAACCGCACGAACGTTCCTAAAAATTCAATAAATCCCTATGCACGTACGTGTAAAGTACACGAATCTGTGTAGACTTTGTACATATTGACGAGATTATTATTGGATACTCACTGAAACCGGAGGGGCCGCCGTTCATCTTCTCAGTTAAAGAGGAAGAACCAACGACCTTCGTAATTCACGACTTCTTCGCTTCGTTCCTCTTATGGAATTTCCCTGCGAGAGTCCTCGCAGCTCGCGCTCCGCTTCTCTTTTCTTTTTTCTTCTTCTTTTTCCTTCTTCCAAGTAAAAGGGAAGGCCGTTGTTATATTATTTTTAAGAGGCCAGGTGGGCGTCGGATTAGTAACTAATTAAATTCTAATTTAACTATAAATTAAGGTTTTATAGATACTTAATTTGAATTAGATAGATTATTAAATTCTCCAAAAAAAAAACAATTTTTTTCTCCTACTTTACTATAATTAATAATAATTAATAATAATAATAACCCATGGGCCGTGGCAATGCTGTTTTTTGGACTTCGAAAGCCCAAATATTCGCTTCCGAAAAAAAGAATCTATTAACGAATTAAGATAAAATAAACCGAAAGAGAAAAACAAATATAATTTTGTTATATAATATTATTTTATTTTTATGTATATATATATATATATATATAGCTCATGTTTTTCTCGACTCCCCTTCCCGACGCGCCTTTCCATCTTCATTTCAAACTCAAAACATATACAGCCCTATTACGCCTCTCTCTCGTAAATACCTCTCTTGTTTTCACCATGGAAGAAGAGCTCGACCCAGTAGCCTATCATCCATCATCTCGTCAATGGGAAGGAGACTCGGAAAACTCGCGCCAATCGTCCCAACCCTGCAGCGAAACCTATATGATCGGCTTCGTACTCGCCAACATAGTCGGTCTTCAGTACTACTCTGGCCAAATCAATGGTCGGGAAATGGTGGGTCTTATCCGGGAACCATTAAACCCTCACGATAAGAACGCGATCAAAGTCCTCAACACAAGAACCGAGCAGGTCGGTCATATCGAACGGTCCGTGGCCGCGGTACTTGCCCCCTTGGTGGACAAGCACTTGATAATTATTGAAGGTATAGTGCCCAATACCCGGAATAGTGGGAATAAGTTCAAAATTCCTTGTCAAATTCACATTTTTGTAAGACTAGCGATGTGCTCAAGTGTGAGATCATCCATTCAGCGAGCTGGGCTGGTCTTGATTTTGCCTTCGGACCCGTCTTTCGCTCTTTCGGAGGCGGAGGTGGTGAAGGAGAAGATGACGGGGAGAGAGGTCAAAACTTTGGATGAGATTTTCAAGTTGGTTGATGAGAATGTGAGCAAAAAGGCGAAAATGGAAGCTATGGAGCCGCCAAAACAGGTGATAAAATCCCAACTTTTTCAGCACCAGAAAGAGGCACTTGGGTGGTTGTTTCGTATGGAGAATTCTGATGATTTGCCGCCTTTTTGGGAGGAGGAAGATGGGGAATTTATCAATGTGTTGACTAATTACCGGACAGAAATGCGGCCCGAACCTCTGCGTGGTGGCATTTTTGCAGATGATATGGGATTGGGTAAGACTCTAACTCTGCTTTCATTGATTGCTTTAGATAAATATCGCAGAGTAGGTTCGTCAGTTGCTGATAGGAATGTAGCTGTAGAAAATATAAATGATGATAAGCTTTCGGATAGAAGGAAGCGGAAGAGGAGTGTAGTGATCAAGAAAGACAGTGAAGGCCAGAAAGAAAATGAAACTGAGGATGATAAACTAGTTAAGAGAGCAAAAGAGAAAATCATTAAATGTTCTGGGATAAAAACAACTTTAATTGTCTGCTCTCCATCAGTTATTTCAACGTGGGTTACACAACTAGAGGAACATACAGTACCGGGTGGGTTGAAGGTATATTTGTACTACGGGGAAAGGACTCAACAAGTTGAAGAGCTCCAGCAGCATGATATAGTGTTGACCACTTATGGTACTCTGGCTATTGAGGAACCTTCGGAGAAAGGCCCTGCAAAGAATGTGAACTGGTGGCGAGTCATAGTGGATGAGGGACACATGATTAAGAATGTAAATGCTCAACAAAGTCGAGCGGTAGCTAATTTGAGTGCTAGGCATAGGTGGGTTGTTACAGGAACTCCCATCCAAAATGGCTCTTTTGATTTGTTTTCTTTGATGTCCTTTCTGCAATTTGAGCCGTTTTCCATTAGAAGCTATTGGAGAAGACTGATACAACGTCCACTTGATCAAGGCAATAAGAAGGCGCTCTCACGCCTACAGGTAATATCACAGTATCAGTCATGACCTTAACATTTATGGAATAGTTAACGATGTCAAAGCATGCATTTTACAATTGATTTTTTTTCTTTCTTTATAATTTATATATTCTTTGTTTTTCTTGTTGGGTAATTCATTCATGCTATATTTGTTTGTCGGAATGGTTGATGTACTAATTTTTGAGTCACTTTTTCTTTTTCTTTGTATACTTCCAACCTTACCTCAATGATATTAAATTCTTTCATAACTATCACTTTGATTTGACTTGTGTTGTCTTTACTTTGTGCTTTTGTTTGTTTGAGCTTCTCTATTCTCCTGCTTAGATTCAGCTTCAACTGAAACAACATTACAACTCTCTACTCAACGGACTAGCTTCAGCTATGAATGATTAAGAGCTGCCTAGGTTCTGCCAAATAGACCATATAGTGTATCTATTATCATGGTATCTGTGTTCTAGGGTCTTTTGACAAAAAGCTGTCTGCATGAACTCAGACATCAGTTGTTTTGACATTAGTACCTGTTTTTTAAACTCTAATTTCTTGAGCTCACCAAATGAGAAATGTTAAGAGACTTGTGTAGAAAATTTCAGAATGTATAGCTAATATTGAGTATCTACTCAAAATTATTGCTTATGCTCTTATCTTTTCACTGGGCTGGAATTGCTTTGAAGTTTATATGTTCTATCTCCAGTTTAGAGAAATATTTCTAGGACAAAAAGGATGCAGCCTTTGTATACAGCAATTTTGCATGTTTGGATGCAGAAGCACAGAATTGTTTTAGCAAGTAAGAAGAGATCTAAGTAAAGTTATGCATAGGTGCAAATGGATTCCACAAATGGTTGTGGAAACTTTTCAAGAATAAGAAGTTATCTTAGTAATGCTTTGTTGTTATGTCAATTGTAAATTTATGGGTGTTTATTCTTTACATTGATTTGGATGCAATTTACTGTTGTTTTAGGTTCTGATGGCAACTATTTCTTTGCGGAGAACAAAAGACAAGGCCTTGATTGGGTTGCCTCATAAAACTGTAGAGACATGTTATGTTGAACTTTCTGAAGAAGAGCGTGACCTATATGATCACATGGAAAGAGAAGCCAAAGGGCTTGTCCAAAGTCTTATTAGTGGGGGTAGATTGATGCATAATTATTCAGCTGTGCTGACTATTCTTTTGCGCCTTCGCCAGATCTGCACAGATATGGCATTGTGCCCTCCAGATCTTAAGTCTTCAACAAACATTGAAGGTATAGGAACAAATTCAACTTTTTTTTCTTTTTAATCTTTTTTCTTAACACAATTTTAACTGTAGCCGCCTGCTTAGATTAATTATATATATGTCACTTACTGCAAAAAATGTACATGTAAGTCAGCTTTTTCAAGGTTTCAAGTGGAGGATGCATTTGATTATCTACTCTGTCTAGGTGAATTCAAGTTCATTTTCATGTTGAAACACTCAGTTGCTTGTTTCAATCCTTGAAATTTTTTAGATAATGGGTTCCACCTGAGTTTATATGAGTTGCATTTGGTGGTATGCTAGTGTTCTTTTTTACTTTCTGCTTGAAGATTACCAAGAAAAAATGGTTATCCGCAATATATAAGGAATGTTACCATATATGTAATATGCTGTGTCCCTTGAGACAAACCCTCTTTAGATGACTGACCCCAAATATTCTTTTTTTACCCTACAGCACAGGCATCCAATAGTTCTTTTCTGTGTTTTTCTATGTCCTTACCCTTTCTGCTATTATTTCCCAAGTTATTACATGCTGATACTCATTAACTGATTCCAAGCAGATGTATCCAATAACCCAGAGTTATTAAAGAAACTGGTTGCCGTGCTTCAAGATGGTGAAGATTTTGATTGCCCAATTTGTCTTTCTCCGCCAAGTATCACTGTAATTACTTCTTGTGCTCACATCTTTTGCCAAACCTGCATTTTAAAAACCATAGAGCGCAGCAAATCCTCCTGCCCCCTTTGCCGTCATCCTCTATCTCAGTCAGACCTGTTTACAGCCCCTCCTGAATCTTCTGATGCTGACAATAGAGGAATTTCTTCACATAATCAGAAGTCATCCAAGGTCTCTGCTCTATTGAAACTTCTCATTGCATCAAGAGACGAAAACCCAAATACAAAATCAGTCATATTTTCACAATTCCGAAAGATGCTGTTATTGCTCGAAGAGCCACTAAAGGTCGCTGGTTTCAAGATTTTGCGCCTAGATGGTTCAATGACTGCAACGAGACGGGCTAAAGTGATCAAAGACTTTAGTGACTCTGAACCAGGCGAACCTACTGTTTTGCTGGCAAGTCTTAAGGCTTCAGGCACTGGCATAAATCTTACGGCCGCCTCTAGAGTCTACTTGTTAGAGCCATGGTGGAACCCGGCTGTTGAGGAACAGGCTATGGACAGAGTCCACAGAATTGGGCAGAAGGAAGAAGTGAAGGTTGTGAGACTGATTGCCAAGAACAGCATAGAGGAGAGGATACTAGTGCTACAAGAGAAGAAGAGGAACTTAGCAAGAAAAGCTTTTCAAGGGAAGGCCAAGGACCGGAGGGAGGTTAGTATAGATGATGTTCGCACTCTCATGTCTCTGTAGGTTCTTTTTAAACATTTACAGGTAGAAGCACCCATGGCAGGTCTCCTAATAAATTTTTTTGTCCAGATGATCAAGGAAATGTTTTTTGCTCTTTCCAGATGCAAATGGGTGCATTGTGTATATTTTCGGATAGAATTTGCATTGTGTATAGAATTTTCTCAGAATTTCAGACATGCAAAGCTCATAGGAAAAACTTTTGCTGTGAAGAAAAAAGCTGCTGACAGCATCAAAATGCATATTTAAAAGAAAATATTTTCTCTCTGTTAGTTCCCTTCAACTTTCTGAATTATCTTATTTGAAAGTCAGTGCTGGATTCAATGTGTGCTTGAAATTTCAACTTCATTGCAGGAAATTAAATTTTAAAAATAGAGTGAAGCTTGACTAACTAATAACAACACTAACTGACGTTTAATTCAATGGTTGACATTTCCTGCTTCATTTGGAAGTCAACAAATTGATGATGTCACTTCTGTCTCCAAATTAAACTAGAAATTATTTTGTCAGTTAATCCTCATAAATGAATATTTAATTAATTTTGAGGTAGGTTGACATCGCAGTCAATAATTGATTTATTTTTCCTCACTATTAATTAAATATTAGTTTCTAATATTTAATATTTATTTTAATTTATTCTTTAATATTTTTATTATAATGTGGTCCTATTTGTTTTTATTTATTTCAAATCATCAAATTCTATTTTTTTTTTTTTTTACAATTATAAAAACTAAAATTATTATTGTATATTTAAATTCCTTATCAAAAAATCTTGTCAGTAAATTTTCATTTTCACATCATTTTTGGAGACATCAAAAAATATATATGTCAATATAATAAATTGTTATCGTTAATAGTATAATATATATATATATATATATATATACATACACACACACACACACATATATTACATCAATCGCCTTCAGTAGCTCCCATAAATAGACATGATTAAACTGATTACTCCTCTTCAATTAACACCATGCATGCATGCACCAAATTATACTGCATGATAAATAATTTCAATTTTTTAAAAAATGTTACTGATAATCATATATATAATTATATTCGTACACTCTAATTAAAAAAAATTGAAGTATCTGATAAATACAACAGTAAATTAAGAGTAATAATTCCATAAAGCTGGGATATTGTGATAATTGTATTTTAGGTTTATATTAACTTTAGAATAAAGTATATAAAAAAAATTTATATCTATACAGTGATATATATATATATATAATATCATCTATTGAATGAATATGTAAATGTCCCAAGAAATTTGAGAAAATGAATATATATTA